AATGAACAAACAAAACCAACCAACCAAACAAACACACACACACACACACGAACCGATGTTTGATGGCCCCAGGATTTAACTCATATGCAGTTCGTTCTTTGTTGTTTCGCCGGCGGCGATGCAGAGGTTACTGCGCCAGCGGTCGACACACATGCACACACATGCACACACACACACACTTTTTGGCGTCGCGGCCACGCGCGCGCGGCGGCGCGGCGTAAGTCACGGTCGAGTCGGGCTGGAGCGCGCGGGCCAGGCCAGCTCACGCAGCGTGGAGAAGCTGGGCCCGCCCATAGGGGATCGACAGCAGCACGCGCGCGGGGGCAGTCGCGAGGGGAGGGGGGAGTAGGGGAAGATGGGAGGAAAGAGTGGAAAAGAGGGCAGGGAGAAGCAGTGCGCCAGTGACGAGCCGAGGCAGCAAGCGAGGCGCAGCAGGAGGGCGGCGACGGCAGCCGACCACGAAGGATAACCAAGACAGCGTGCGGAATCCCAGGCCGATCAAGGGGCACCGTGGGGAAACAGCTAGGAGGACAGGTAGACACACACACACACACATGCACAGTTCTGTCAGCAGCGACAGCGGACGCTAGCGTGGTCGAATAGCCGACGGGCCGTTTCGGGCAATGGACACACTAGGACAGTTTGAAAGCAATAGGGTGGCCGCAGAGGAGGCAAGCGGAGGCCAGCCTCAGGCGCAGAAAGTCCACGCCACGAGGAGCGCGCAGGCGGCCTCAGGCACCAGGAACCGGTGCACTCGCAGGCTGCGCGGGACAGAACAAGCTGCCGCAGGGGGGGTCGGCTCCACCTTTTCCATCGGACAAGCACGGACGCTATCAGATGGGCGGCGGGCAAGATGATTCACCGACCCACCCACACACACACATGTGTGTGTGCGTGTGTGTGTGTGTGTGTTCCGCTGTTTTCAATCTCTATGGCTGGGGACCCAGGGCGCACCTCCCAACTCCCTTCCGAACGAGTTTCGGCCTCCCCTCCCCAGGCTGCTGAGACGCCCCCCCCGGGCTGCTCGGACGCCCCTCGGAAAGTCCACAAAGGCCTTCCAGATTGCACAAGACAGCTCGTCGACAGATCAACAAATACCAAATCGCCGAAGAGACACCCAAAACGCACCAAGAAAGGTCTTCGAGGGCCCTCAAGAGAGCCCCAATAGCCGAAACATGTATTATCATACCTACAGGTGTGTTCTCGCACTGCATTATTTCGACCGACCGACCGCGCCTTGGATATGTGCTGGACTGGGATGTGTGCTGGGATGTGTTCTGAGACGTGTGCTGGGACGTGTGATGCCTTCGTGTGCTGGGATGTGTGCGGGGCTGTGTGCTGCCTCCGTGTGCTGGGATACGTGCTGGGATGTGTGCTGTCCGTGCCCTCCCGCCTTCCCTGCCCCCCCCCAGCCAGCACCCCTTCGCCCCGTGGCCCCCGTCTGCTAATTCCGAGCGACCGACCGTGCCACCCCCTCTGCACGACCGCGCCCTCCCGTCCCCTGCCCCCCCCCCCCCCCCCCGCACCCCTCCGCCCCGTGGCCCCCGTCTGCCTGTTCTGACCGAGCGACCGTGCCCCCCCCCTCTGCCCGACTGTGCCCTCCCGTTCCCCTGCTCCCCCCCCCTCCCCCCCCCGCAGCAGGCCCCCGTCTGCTTATTCCGACCGACCGACCGTGCCCCCCCCCCCCCCCCCTCCCTGTCCGACCGTCGCTCCTCCGCCCCGTGGCCCCCGTCTGCTTACTCCGACCGACCGTGCCACCCCCTCTGCACGACCGCGCCCTTCCGTCCCCTGCTCCCTCCCTTCCGCACCCCTCCCCCGTGGCCTCCGTCTGTCCCCGACCGACCGTGCCCACCCCTCTGCCCGACCGTGCCCTCCCGTCCTCCTGCTCCCCCCCCGCCCCTCCGCCCCACGGCCCCGTCTGCATATTCCGACCGACCGACCGACCGTGCCCCCCGTCCCCTCTGCTCCCTTCCCCCCGCACCCCTCCGCCCGTGGCCCCGTCTGCCGATTCCGACCGACCAGCCATGCCGCCCCGCCCCCCCTCCCTTTCTGCCTGACCGTGCCCTCCCGTTCCCTCTGCCCCCCCCCCCCTCCCCGCACTCCTCCGCCCCGTGGCTCCCGTCTGCTTGCTCCGACCGAGCAACCGTGCCCCCCCCCCTGCCCGACCGCGCCCTCCCGTCCCCCTGCTGCCCAACTTCCCCCCGTGGCCTCCCGTCTGCATGTTCCGACGCAAGGCCCGACCGACCAATCATGCCCCCCCCCCACCTCCTCCGCCCCGTGGCTCCCCATCTGCGCCCGAAATTGTATGATCCTTGGCGCGCGTGCCTCTTGTATCTCCAAACGGTTATTGCACGAATTCGGCGTCCACGAATCTCCTCGCTTCCACGCTCCAAGACGACCCAAGAAACCATGGAGACCGCCCCAAGATGAGCCTCAAACGACCCAAGAGGGCCTCAAGACTGCCCCAAAAAAGCCCCCAAGATCGCCCCGAGAGGGGCCCGAAACGACCGACGGCCCACAAGAGGGCCATGACGGCCCCAAACGTTTGCAAAACGGCCGCCCACGACTGCCCGAAGAAGGCAGCAACCAAGAAGGGGAACACGGATTCACACTTCGAACGTTCAGTCTCAGACAGAATCGCCCCGTGATATTCCCAGACGCCCGCGCGGCGCCCGACGACGCCCCAAGAGGCCCCGACAGGCCTCCCAAGAAAGTTCCAGAAACCGACACTTACACATTGCGAAGGGGGGAACACTGCTCCTTGACTGGCTGCTCGCTTAGCTACTCTGCGCCCTAAAGGGCACCTCGTCTTTTCGAAGACTATCTGCACTTCGTTCTACCACACGATCCTGCAGGAGGAGGAGGAAGGAGGAGGAGGAGGATGAGGAGAAAGGAGAAGGAGGAGGAGGAGGAAGAGGAAGAGAAAGGAGGAGGAGGAGGACGGAAGCGAGGGGAGCCGAGGCGAGACGGAGGGTGCGAGGAACGGCGGCGGCGGCGGCACGGGCAGGGGCGGGAGCCCGAGCGGGCGGGCGAGCGGCGGAGGCAAGTCCTCCCCACGCAAGAGACGACCTGCTCGTTCTGGCTCCGGGTGCCGTACGCCAGGCTTGCCTTCCACACATGATATGTTGCCGTGTCTCTCTGTTTGTTCTCTCTTTTCTCTCTCTCTCTCTTGTTCTCTCTCTCTCTCTCTCTCTCTCTTTCGCGGTGAATGCATGAATATATACATGAATATATATATATATATATACACATGCATACATATATATATGTATGTATGTATATACACATACATACCATATATATATATATATATATGTGTATACATCTATATATTCCGCCGACCCCAGAAGCGTGTGCGACATCTTTGTGCACAGCGTACCTGAATGCGATCGAGATCTCCCTCCCGCCGCGGCCGTCCCGTTCGTTTCCTGGAGCATCGTTCCAATATCACTTTGCATGATACCGCCATTCCCTGAACCTCCAGCCATCTACATCTTGGGACCCCCCCACGCGAGCCGTCCCGCTCGTTTCCTCGAGCATCGTTCCGAAACCACTTTGCATGATACCGCCATTCCCTGAGCTTCCAGCCATCTACGTCTTGGGACCCACCACACGACAAATTCTGGATCGAAACCTACACACACCCTCAACCGCGAACCCCACCACGCCCCGGCTCTCCCACCCCACGAGAGCTCAGTTATTGGGACCCCCCAAACGACAAATTCAGGTCCGACATCTAATTACCCGCGCTCCCATCGCGCCCCCCACCGTGTCCCGGCACCTCAACTCCACGTCAGCACACAAGAGCTCAAATCTTGGGACCCCCCACGCGACAGATTTTGGCCTCCAGCCTACCCACACTCCCCACCAGGCCATCGCGCCCCCCACGGCGCCCCGACCCCTACCTTGCGAGAGCTCAGTTCTTAGGACACTCCAACGCGACAAATTCTAGCCTGGAACCTACCCATATCTCCCTCCGCGCCCCCCACCGCGCCCCTGCGCACGCACCCCACCAGAGCTCAGCAGTTCTTAGGACCCCCCTAACGACAAATTCTGGCCCGAAACCTACCCACGCCGCCCACCGCGCCCCCCACCGCGCACCCCCACCCCACCAGAGTTCAGTTCCTCGAGCCCCCCCCCGGTAACCCCGCACCCCCACCCCACGATAGCTTAGTTCTTCGGAACCTGCAAACGACAATTTCTGGCCCGAGACCTACCCACACACCCCACCGCGCCCCCCCACCGCGTCCCGGCACCCCCACCCCACGAGAGCTCAGGCCTTGGGGCACCCCACACGACAACGTCTCGCCCGAAACCGACCAACATCCCCGACCATGCCCCCCACAACGCCCAGGCACCCCCACCCCGCAAAAGCTCAACTCTTCAGACCCCCCACACGACAAATTCTGGCCCAAACCCGACACGCACCCCCCACCGCTTCCATCACCGCGTCCCAGTACCCCCACCCCACGAGAGCTCAGTTCTTAAGATCCCCGACATGAAAAATTCTTACTCGCAACCTACCCACACACACACACCGCTCTCCACCGCGTCTTGGCACTCCCACCCCACGAGAGCTGAGTTCTTGGGACCCCCCACGCGACAAATTCTGGCCCCAAACAACCCACACCTCCCACAGCGCCCACCACCACGCCCTTGCATTCCCAGCCTACGAAAGCTCAGATCTTCGGGCCACCCACGCGACAAATTGTCGCCCGAAGCTTACCCACGCACCCCGCCGCGCACCCCCCCGAGTCCCAGCACCCCTACCCAACAAGAGCTCATTTCTTGGGACCCCCCAAACGACAAATTCTAGCCTGAAGCTTACCCACGCACCCCGCCGCGCCCCCCGCCGCGCCCTGGCGCCCGCACCCCACGAGAGCTGATTTCTGAAGACCCCCCACGCGACAAATTCTAAGCCGACTCCGACCGACTTCCCCCGCTGCGCCACACACCCCCCGCATCCGGGCACCTCCACCCCACGAGAGCTCCGTTCTTGCGACCCCCACACGACAAATTCTTGCCCGAAGCCTTCCCACGGTCCCCACCGCGCGCCCCACCGCGCCCTGGCACCGTCACCCCACGAGAGCTCACTTCTTGGGACCCCCCGCGCGACAACCCCCTCCGCGCCCCCCGCCGCGTCCCAGCACCCTCACCCCAGGAGAGCTCAGTTCTGGCGACCCCCCACGCGGCAAGACCTGCCCCGAAACGTACCCACACCTCTCACCGCGCCCCTCACCGCGCCCCGGCACCCCCATCCCGCGAGAGCACAGTCGTTGGGACGCCCCGCGCGACAAACTCTAACCCGAAACTTACCCACACCTCGGTACCGCGCCCCCCACCGCGTCCCGGGACACCCACCTCACGAGGCCTCAGTTCTTGGGACCCCCACGCGCCAAATCCTGGCCCGAAACCTTCCCGCACCCCGCACCGCCCCCCCCGCCGCGTCCCGGCACCCCAACCCCACGATACATGCGGTATTGGCACCCCCCACACGACACATTCTGGCCCGAAACCTACACACACTTCCCACCGCGCCGCCCAGCGCGTCCCGACACCCCCACCCCACGAAAGCTCAATTCTTGGGACCCCCCACGCGACAAATTCTCACCCGAAACCTACCCACACACCCCACCTCGCGCCCCTCACCGCGCCCAGGCACCCCCACCCCACGGGAGCTCAATTCCTGGGACCTCACACGCGACACTTTCTAGCCCGAAACCGACCCACACCCATCACCGCGTCCCCCACCGCGTCCCGGGTCCCCAACCCCACGAGAGCTTCTTTCTTGCGACCCCCCATGCGACACATTCGGGCCCGATACCTACCCATACACCCCACCCCGCCCCCAAAAGCGTCCCAGCACACCCACTTCGCGAGAGCTCAGTTCTTCGGACCCTCCATACTCCGAATTTTAACCCGAGGCCTACCCACACACCCCACCGCGCCCCTCACCGCGCCCCGGCACCACCACCACACGAGAGCTCAGTTCTTGGGACTTCCCACGCGAGACCCCCAAACCCACGAGACCCCAAGAGAGCGGCATCGAGAACTAACACAACGCTTCCTATTATCCGCCGACCCCACTGGCGTGTTAGAGGGAGGGAGAGACCATCAGACATCAGCGATCCAGCCATTCTGCGAACCAGCCAACCGCGAACCAACCAGACATTCATTGGAGACCAGCCATCAGCCAATCAGCCACAACCCATCAGCCATCGACTAACCAGCGCTTCAGCCAATCGGTATATCCGCCTCCACGGGCGTGTGAGAGTCGAGACTTGTGAGTCACACAACTATCAACCATCAGCCCTCAAGCTCTTGGCCATCAGACAACAATACAAAAGAAAACGCGCCCTCAGCTTTCAATCGGCCAGCCATCGACAAGGCCTGTTCCACATATTCACACAACAGCTCACGAGTTGTCGCCCATCAGCCAAAAAGCCAAAAGTGGGGGCCATCAGTTTCCAGGCAGCCAGCCATCGACGAACCAGCGCTTCAACCAACCAGCCATCAGGCATCCAGTCACGCAAACCAGAGACAAACCAGCGCTGCAACCTACGTCACCTTTTTTCCTGGGGTCGGCGGCTGAGGCGGTAGCCTTTAAGGTGTATATATATATACATAGAGAGAGAGAGAGAGAGAGAGAGACACACACACTCTCTCTCTCTCTCACACACACACCCTAACGAACTTCGCCCACCCCGGGCCTCTCGGGCAACCCTCCAGACGACCCGGGAGAACCTCACTAGAGCCCGAAGACGGCCCCAGAGGGCTCCAAGCGTTCTGGCGAGCTCCCAAAACGACCCCAGAGTCCCCAGACGGTCCACGACGACCCCAAAGAAGCCGTCATACCCACAAAGATCGCTCCAAAACGTCCCAAGAGGCCTCCAAGAGCACTCTCAAGAAGGCCCCAAGAAGCAAAATGCATTGATTTTCTGATGGTTGTTGGTAAATTTTGGGGTTCCTCCTCTTTTCAGCTTCCCGACGCTTCAAAACGGCGGTCTCCTGGGCGTCCGAAGCCGCCTGGGAGGCTAGAAAATCGCCCCACAACCATCCGAAAAGGCTTCCAGGCAGTGCCAGAGAGCCCCAAGACGGCACAACAAGGTTCCAAGATGGCCTAAAAAAGCCCCATGACTGCCCCAAATGGCCCCAAGACACCCTCCGAAGCATTCCAAATCGTGACCCGGTCGTTCAGGGAAACCGCGGTTGGAGGCAGGGTGGCCCGAGGAAACTCCCAGAAGCCCCCAGAAGACGCCCAGGAGGCATCCAGAAGGCCTTAAGAAAGCCTGAAAAACTGTTGTGAGGCCCCCAGCGGCTGTCCAAGGAGGAGCCTCCGCAGAAAGAGCTGAGGAGGATGGGGAGAATACGCAGGGTATGGCGAGAATGGGGAAAAAGAAACATGGAGGAAGGATAACGAAAAACATGGATATAACGGCGATGCTGGAAAGACAACAAGAAGTTATCGCTAAATTGTCGGCTTCACCTTCCTGCCATTCCGCCTGCGCACCACAGTTCAAGGACCAAGGTGCATGGCGCGAAGCGCCAATTCAGTCTTATATATCTATAACCATATATCGCTCTCTCTCTCTCTTTCTCGCTGTCTCCTTGTCTCTCGCCTTCCCTGTCTCTCCTCTCTCTCTCTCTCTCTCTCCCTCTCTGTCTCGCACTCTCTCCCTCTCTCTCTCTCTCTCGTTGTCTCTCTCTCTCTCTGTGTCTGCCTCTATTCTCTCCCTCTCCCTCTCTTTCTCTCTCCCTCTCTCCTTCTCTCTCTTTTTTTCTGCGCACCGCTTGCGCGCCCGCTCGCCAAGGCCGCCCCTTTGCGGGGCCTCTCGCAGCGCGCTGGGCCGCCTGGAGCCCGCGGCATGCCGGCGATGAGCGCCGGGCCGCGGCACGACCTGTTACGCCAGGGGGCCTGAGGGGGCGCAGGAGGACCCGATCATACAGCCAAACCATGTAGTACATCGTTTCCCGAGCGGTGCGGCCAGAAAGCGCCCACCACGGAGCTTATACTATAAGGTTTCTCGGTGCGCGCGTCGCCCCTGATGGGGGGGGCGACGCACATATAGTATTGAGGTGTCGGTGTGACGCCGACTTAGATGGTGACCCCGAACCCTCAGGGATTGGCCAGCACCTTGGCCGAGTAGGGGTCCTGGCCGCGGAGGAGCCTCGACAGGTACTGGCGCTTCTTCTACTTATTCTGATTCTCAATGTTTAGTCGTAATATTGTTACTCAGACTACTGATACTATTATTCTGATTGTCCATATGATCGTTGTAATCGCGAATAAATGTCTTAGTGTGATTCGTATACGTATTGTTATGCTTATTATTCGTCGTACTCTTAGTGGTACGACTATTACAATAATATTACCGTGATCCTTATCATAATTATAATTATAATCAACATTCCTATTGGTCTTATTTGTTTTCCGTTTCCCTCTTCTTCTTTCTTCTCGCCCGCCGACGCCACTCCAGCCCTCGGTAAGCCTCCTCGGCATCGCTCCCTGAACCCTTTGGCCGTTTCATCACAGCGCCTGCAGAACCCGCGCGGCCCCGCCTCCGCCGGCGCGTGGCCCAGGTCAAACAGCTCATATGGTTCTTCGCGCCGCAGCTCGGCACCACTACGGCCCAGGGCGGCGCCATCGGGTCTGCGTGGGCTTCGCGACCGCCGCCTGCTCTCGCTGGCGCCAGCGGGCGTCGCCTCGCCCTGGTTGGCCCCGCTGCTCGCCGCAGCCCTTGCGCCCAACGCCGCTGACGCTACTGCCAGCAATACGGCCTCACGGCAGCAGCCGCATGGCCGGCGTCAGTGGGGATGTCCCGCCGTTGTGTCCCGCTGTGTTGTCCCGTCGGTGTGCGCGGGCGGTGGCCGGGGGTGTCCCGCCGTGGCGTTCCGTCGATCCCGTCGGTGTCCCGTCAGTGCCCCGTCGGTGTCCTGTCGGTGTCCCGTCGGTGTCCCGTCGATGACCCGTGGTGTCCCTTCAAAGGGGTATGGGGCCAAATAATTGCCACTGTCGTCATCGCCACGCCGGCCCAACGGGCCAGAGGCGTGCTAAGGTCTCCGGTAACTGGTTAACAGTATCTCTAGTTCGCGCGCGCGGGGCGGCCCCTGGGGGTCCCCGGACGAAAAGTACCCCGGGCGATCCCCGACCGACCCCCGAGCGATCCCCGGGAGACTCCCCCAGAGCGCTCCAGGAGCGCTCCAGGAGCGCACCAACAGGGCTCCGAGACGTCCCCGAAACCCTCAAGACGGGTCCAGATGCCCCCAAGAGGCTCCCAAGATGGTACACAAGGGTTCCGAGATGCCACATGATCGCTCCAAGACGCCCAAGATGGCCCCCAGACGCCCCAAGAGGCCTCCAAGAGCACTCCCAAAAGGGCCCCAAGAAGCAAAATTCATAGCTTTTCCTTAGGTTTTTTTTTTGCCACGGCTCAACTGATTTGAACTCCACTGCCGTCATGTGACTTTAGGAAATTGGCTATGGAGAACTGATCTCCACTTGTTCATGCGCCACACAGACACGAAACAATAGAGTCCCACCAATGCGGCGACCGCTTACTCTGGGAATTCACAGACGGCACGGCCAGGTTGCCTTGAACTTCACTGGTATCTTTGGACTTGAGGAAATTGACAATGGAGGGGGACTCCCTCCGAGTCCGATAGCGCTCTTGTACAAGCCTAGCTAAGATTTATAAGATTCCTACCAACGTGCGGCCGCTCGTTCTGCGGATTACACGACGGCTTGAGCAGACCCAGAATCGCATGGGCCAGCACACACACTGGCCTGCGTTTCGCTTAGCCTGCTGGCCATCTGGAAGATAAGCGCGGCTGGTCCGGAAAAAAAACCGGATGAGGGGCGCCGAGTACGAGCAGCAATGTGGTGATTGCGCCAGGGCCCTTCGCGATAGTGGGCCATTCACGAAGAGCCCTGCTGAGCTTTGCCTCTGTGGGCTCTCGCTCGGCGCGGCATCCAGCCGGAAGAGCAAGTTCCACCCCTTGGACGGATCGGACTCGAAGGATCCCCGCATCCCGATCAGGGGTCGGGGCGCATGCTCCGGCGGCCCAATCCGCACTCCCGAGATATGCATATGGATATTGTCTTGAATATCTGATATATATATATGAGAGAGAGAGAGAGACTGTGTGTACATATGTATACACAGCACGGCCCAATTGCCTTGAACTTCACTACATTCATGCGGATCGAGGAATTTGGCCATGGAAAGAGCCTCCCTACGAAACCGGCAATGCCCTTGTACAAGCTGAACGAAGGCTCATGAGACCCCTACCAACGCGCGAGCGCTCCTTCTGCGAATTACAGGGCGGCTCGGGAAGACGTGGAATTGAATGGGCCAGCCCGTAATACCAGCCTGCGCTGAGCCTGCCGGCCTGCCGGGGTAAGGAAGAAAATTCAACGAGATTGATCCGGAAAGAGGGCCAGATGAGCGCCGAATCTGGGTAGCTACGTGGTAACTGCGTCGCCCTTCGCGATCTCACGGCCGCTCACAGCGCTCAGCGAATGGGCCATTCGCGAGGAACCCTGCTGAGCTCTGCCTCTGTGGGCTCTCGCTCGGCGCGACCCGCCAGCCGGAAGAGCGGGTTCCACCCCTTGGACGGGTCTGACTCGAAGGGCCCCGGGGTCAGGAAGCCCAAGCGTGCCTCGCCGACCCACGCCTGGTGCTTGTCCCACGCCTGGTGGCCAGGAAAGCCACACTTCATCATGACGTTTGCAAGTCCGAAAGGGAACCAATGGAACTGATCGCTGACGCTCGGGGTACCGTCAGCGCTGTCCCACCTGTCGCCGAAGAAGCGCCTGCCTGAGGGACACTGGCCCTCTTCTATGGGCTGCCCGTCAGGGCCGTGCACGACGTGCTTGTTCGCGTAGAGGATCTTCTCGCGGTCCTCGGCATCCAGGTTGAGGAGGATCTGCCCAACGTTCACTTTGAAGATCTGGTCCGCTCGGATCACGAGGACGTGGCTGAAATCTCGCTTCTGCTCGCGAAGGGACCGCGCCAGGTTCATCATACACAGCTCCCACGACGCAACCAAGCCGCTGCCTGCCACTTGCGGCGTGTAATCAGGGCCAGTCTCGAACTTGCCTGTCGTTTGATTGTACTTGCGAGGCTTGTAGGCGCTCTTGGTGTTGTCAGAGAACTCGGTCCTCGTCAGAGTGTCTCCGTACCAGCTGTGCAGCTTCTCCGTGAGATCATCGCTGATGTGTCTGGTCTGAAGAAAGACCTCGACCTCGTAGCCTGCTTGGCGGAAAGGTTCCACGATGAGACTCATGTGTGATGCTGACGCGAGCATCTGCTCGGTGATTGAAGCCTCCGACCCAACTGAACGAGAATGCTGCCGCCCCTCGCGGAAGGATTCGCCGCGGATGATCAGGGCCAGGCGCTTCCCCGCGCACGGGTGGCTGTCCAGGCTGAACGGGCCTTCTGTGAGCTTGTCATGCGCAAGGCGGGCTGGCAGCGAGACCCAATACTCACCGTACATGTCCGCCCTCATGCTGGGCTGGAGATCGCCGGCCTCGCGCGAGGGGTCACCGAGCAACGGCGCGTCCGATGCAGCGCACTCGCCCCGCCCCCCTCGCTGCGTCCAGCCCCTTGCCTCGTCGTAGGCTGGAAGCACGAACATCTTGAATACGACGATCATGACAGCAATCCCGCAGAATTGCACAATACTGTACAGGTCCTGCCCGTCGCAGAACCCAGAGGATGTCGCGATCCATCGTGCAATCGGAGGACCCATGAAACGTCCTAGTCCGTCCGTGCAAAAGCCGCGCAGGAGCTGCACGTCGTGCTGCGACGGCATGCCCGGCCCAGGAGCGAGGCTGGGGAGCGAGAGCATGATGCCATCAAGGTACCCTCCAGCCACGATCAATTGCGGCAGTAGGATGGTGTCTGCTGCCAGCAACGACCAGAACGAGCCCGGCGGTATCGCCATGGAGCGGGACATCATCAAGGTGGCCAGCAGAGCGCCCACGAGCAAGATCTGCGTGGACGCCGCCGTGATGCCGAACTGCGTGCGGCCGAGAATCGCCTTGACTGGCCAACTCAGGAGGAACGCGACCCCGATCGCAAGCCCGATGCTCACCCTCGACCAGCTCGCGCTCTCCTCGAGAATGAGAGCCGTAGCCACCTCTGCCCCGCTCATCACGAACGTCCTGATGCAGCAGAGGCTTGCGCACCACAGCAACGCGCGCTTCGACGCGTGGCGAAGCTGAAGAGGCGCTTCAGGCGGTTGTTGGACTTTCTGGAACGCCGCGTGCTCGGCAGTGTCTCTGCTCAGGCCTCGAAGCCTGCTGACGCCCATGCACACGGCGAAGCACAGCAAGACATCGTCGTAAAACTGGAATCCATCCACGGACATGAGTTGGCGAATGCTCTGAGACGCAGAAGCGAGGATTGGCCCGCAGCCAGCCCCCACGGCGCTTGCGACCGTGAGCCATGCCGTGTTTTCCCTCTTCTGCTCCGGCGTGCCGTTGCTTGACGCGACGTTCAAAGCTGCGTAGACCATCATGCCCCCGCCAACGCCCGCAATGGCGCGGCAAAGAAGCAATGCTCCACCTCGGAGCCAAACGTGTGGGAAGTACTCCACGTGCGGCGTGACTGCAGCAAAACCCACGGTGCCGACGGTGAGGCAGATGGCGGCCATGGCATAGGCTGAGAACAACTCGGCGCTGCTCAATTTCTGGGTACTTGACCTGAACATGCCCCACAATATCCCGTAGCCAATCATATGCGCCCCAGCGTAGACGCTGACGAGGAGCCCAGAAGTCGACGGATTGAGCCCGCAGAGCTCTGCTATAGCGTAGCTTTCGGGGATCAACTTGGTGAACAGGACCTTCGATACAAACATGCAAATCCATCCAAACCTTTGCAGCGCCGCGCTCGAATCGTTCCCCACCTTCCAGGCGAAGAGCATGCTGTAGGCAATCCCATACACTGGTCCAAATACCAGGGGAACTACGAGCGCGGAGGACGCGTCTGCGATCTGCATCATGCGCCCGGTGCCTGGGAATGTCAACGCGAAAACCTGCAGCGCCTGAGGCGAAGTTCCACCTTCGGCCGCACACAACGAACGTGAGCCAAAACGACTTGACTTGAGCCAAAATGGCTACGGATAGCCCCAAGAGGGCCCAAGAGGCCCAAGAGGGCCCAAGAGGCCCCCAAGAGGGCCCCAAGATGGCCCAAGAGGGCTCGAAGACGGCCCAAGAAGCCTCCAAGACGGTCCAAGAGGGCCCCAAGAACGCCCCCAAGGGGGCCCCAGAGAGGGAACACGAAACAACATTTCGAGCCCTCGGCCCTAAGAAGCCCCCACGAGGCCCCAAGAGGCCCCTAAGAGGCCCCAAGAGGCCCCCACGAGGCCCTCAGGAGGCCCCCAAGAGTCCCCCAAGCGGCCCCAGGAGGCCCCCCAAATGCCCCCCCGAGCGCCCCAGGAGTCCCCCAAGCGGCCCCAGGAACCCCCAAAGCGCCGCATTGACACCAGGCCCTCGGGCAAACGGCAGACATGAGACTGTATGGGCCGGCGGAATGAGCGAAGCGATTAAATAATTGCCACTGTCGTCATCGCCATCATGCTTCTTCGCCAGCATCGCCAGTGTTGGCCCATTACCATCATGCATCGTCGTCAGCATCGTCGTCTTGCATCGTCGCCAACTGGTGAACGCATCACCAGCATCGCCACCATCACAATCACCGCAGTTGTCCTCAGTCTGTTCTTCCCCCCAACCTCCTTCTCACCTGAAGGGTGGTCGTATAGGAATAGGTCTGTAGACGCGGCTCATCGCCCACTGGTGGATGACGTGTAACATGGTTAATCCAACACAGGTGTATGAGGCTGTCGGAAGGGAGAGATGAGAACGAAATGAAACAGATAGCCCCTCACAGGGAGATCGGTTTCGGTTTCAGGATCGCGTCGTGCGTGCAGGCGAGGCGAAGCTGCGTGTGCGGGCGAGAGAACTGAACCCTCCTCTGGCTAAGGCGCGGCGAAGGCAGAAGTTGGCCCCCCACAGGCCGCGTGGCGGGCTGGTGCCAGGGGTATCCGGCCGTGGTGTCCCGATGGTGTCCCGTGGTGTCCCGTGGTGTCCAGCGGTGTCTCGATTGGTCTCCCGATGGTGTCCTAGTTGTGTGTCGATGGTGTCCCACGGTGTCCCGCCGTGGTGTCCCGATGGTGTCCCGTGGTGTCCCGCGGTGTCCCGCGGTGTCACCACTGGTGTCCTGCGGTGTCCTGGTGGTGTGTCGATGAAATCCGATGAGACGAAAGTTAGATCGACAGTGGGATCGATCGTGAGATCGATAATGAGATCGATAGTCAGACCGATCGTGAGATCGATAGTGGGATCGATAGTGAAATGAATAGTGGTACCGATAGTGAGATCGATAGTGAGATCGCTACTGAGATCGGTAGTGAGGTCGGTCGTGAGATCGGTAGTGAGACTGATAGTGGGGGCCATCTCGAAATCGATAGTGAGATCGATAGCAAAATCGGTAGTGCAATGAATAGCGAGACCGATAGCGAAATCGGCAGTAAGATCGATAGTGAGATCGATAATCAGATCGATAGTGTGATCGATGGTGAGAGGGATAGTCAAATCGATGGTGGATCGACAATGGTATCGATAGTGAAATCGATCGTGAGATCGATAGCCAGATCGATAGCCAGATCGATTGAGTGAGGCGTTGGTTCCCCCCCTCCTGAACCTTCTTATCACTCAAAGGGTGGACGTATAGGTACGCCTACATACTCAATGATGTACCCCTGATTGATGCTGTTCAGGCGAGAGTATTGTACTCGTGGTGACGCGCTCCACCGATGGCAGTAGCGGCGCGCTGAGGAAGGCCCCCCATTTATCTTCCATCCGTTTCCTTCTGAATAACTCCTCATTGTCGCACCCCGAGGCGCGTTGGTAGGGCGAGCCTTCCTCACCGTTCATTCATGACCCTAAAGTTTCAAATTGGCAAGAGCTTCACACATGGAGGTTGGGGCGTTTTCAAAGTGTGGCTCTTGCCGAAGAGCCGCGCGCGCTCGTTTTGAAAAACTTCCAGAGCTTCACGGATGAACGGCGGGTCGTGATCAAAATGTGGCTCTCGCCTGAGCGCCGCGCACATTCACTTTTCTTAAACCTGCAGGAGTTTATCGGATAGAGGGCGTGTTTTCAAAATGTAGCTCTCGCCTGGACGCCGCGCACATCGGTCTTCGAAAGATTGCGCATGCTTCGCGGACGGGTGGCGGGACCTTTTCAAAATGTGGCTCTCGCCTTGGCGCCGCGCGCATTCGTCTTAAAGTTCGCAATGGCCCCGCAGATGGAAGGTGGGTCGTTTTCAAAAGATGGCTCTCGCCTGAGCACCACACACATTCACCTTCAAAAGAAGAACTTCACGATTGGAAGGCAGGTCGTTTTCTAAGTGTGGCTCTCGCCTGAACGCCGCGCACTCTCGCCTTTGAAAATTTGCAACTTCACGGATGGAGGACGGCTCCGTGTTTAAAATGTTTCTCTCGCCTCAGCGCCGCGCACATTCGTCATAAAACTGACAAGCAAGTTCAAGGATTATTACGGCCGGCGTCCCAGGAATGGTGTTCTTACACGATTCAGGACTGCCAGGACGCATCACTCACGTTGATCCGCAGTGTTGGTACCCCAAAAATGAACGCATGAAAACCGACCCCAAACCCCCACGTGAGGAACTTCAGAATAACTAGACCGTGCGGCGCGCCCCCCCCCCCCGCCCCCCCCTGCGGAAGCTGGCAATGGCCTCGCTTACAAGGCGCCTAGACTTACGCACATTTGCCATGATTGCAACACGTGGACATGTAAAAGCCATTGTTGTGGGGGCTGGGGTCGGTTTCCCTCTGGCGGAGGACTCGCATTCTGGCACGATTCAGGATCGCCAGGACGCAACAGCGCCGTTGATTCGCGTCGCTGAAATCCCAGGACTGGTGATTTGGCACGATTGGGGATTATCTGACGTTTGTCTTCCAACGGGGCACTTCCCGCAGTATACATAACTTGTGTAGGGACCTAGAAGAGGGAACTTGGAGGGAAGGCTTAGTGAAACATCGTTGACGCGTCTTGGGTTTACATTGGTCCTGGTCCTCCTCCTACTCCTCCTCCTCTTACTCCTCCTCCTCCTCCTCCTTCTCCTCCCCAGGCTGCTCCCCATCGCTTCAGCCTTGAGGAAGCCCGCGGCGACCGCTTGCTGAGGTACCGTCATGCTCACGATGACCTGCGCACAGTCTCACTCATCGCCATTGTCGCTGGTCTCTCTTGCTCCTCCTCCTACTCCTCCTCCTCCTCCTCCTCCTCCTCCGCCTACCCCTTCCCTCCCCTCTAAAATCCTGCCTCCTCCTTTCTCCTCCCCCTCTGCCTCCCCCTCCCCCCGTTAACTCTCATTATCCCCCGTCTTCCTCCTTCCTTCATCTTACTCCATATTCTCTCCTGCTCTTCCCGTCTCCTCTTCCCAACTCCTCGACGACTCGGTGATGCGGACGTTTCTCCTGATGAAAAGTGGCGCCCTCGACCCCTCCCGCCGATGAGCAGGCCGGAGGGGAAACACAACCAAGGGAAAGGACCACGGCAAGGATGGTGATGCTGGTGATGAAGATGGTAATGATGACGGTGGTGATGATGATGATGATGATGGTGATAATGATGCTGCTGATGATGCTGCTGCTGCTGATGATGATGATGATGATGATGATGATGATGATGGTGATGGTGATGGTGATGCCGATGCCGATGATGATGATGATGACGATGATGATGATGATGCTGATGATGATGATGATGATGATGATGATGATGATGATGATGCTGCTGCTGCTGCTGCTGCTGCTGCTGCTGGGAAAGGAGGGGCCCACCTCGGCGCGCCCCTCCTGGGGCGAGGCCCGACACCCTCCGAGTTAGATCCTGTCCAGACGTCCAGTGGGAGGCGAAGAGGGGGCGTGCCGGCGCTCCCGGTGAGAGTGCGGCGCGGCGGCGGCGGGAGGGGGGCGGAGCGGGCGGGGGGCGGGGGGAGCAGGCTTGGGCGCTCGGCTCGGCGAGGAGGCAGCACCCTGGCGCGCGGTGCGGCGGAGCGAGCGGCGAGCGCGAGGGGCGGGGGTAGAGGGGGGCAGTGAGGAGGGGAAGCGGCCCGAGCGGAGCCACCACCGCCCGAGGAGGGGAGGTGGTCGCTCCCTCGGCCTGGCTCGTAGTGCCGCGGGGGACATGTTTGTAGGCGGGGTCACGGGAGGGGACCCCTACATAAGGCCTGCAAGAACACCCCCCGAAGAGGGCTTTTAAAGGGCGCTCGGACGGAAAACGACCTGCCCCCCCCCACCCCACCCCCCCATCAGGAAAAAACCTTGACGGTGTGCTTGGCGGGGTTCCAGGAGGGAACGAATCTTCCAAAAAACAACCCGCCTGGGGGGTTTTTGTTTTCGGTTTTCGGTGTTCGGGTTCGGTGGGGATCACCAACCCTCCCAAAAAGATTCAAGGAGGGGTTTGAAAGGGGTTCTGGGGAGCAAGTCCTCCTACCCCTTCTCCCTATCCCCCACAAAAAAACACTTGGGAGGGTTTTGGGGTGCGGTCCTGAGGGGAACCACCATTACATAAACCGCACCATATTTTTTGTTTTAGGGGTGGGGCAGGGGGGGGAACCCCCCTAACCTCAAAACAAAAAAAACTCAAGGAGGATTCACCTCCCCCCTGCGGAGGGTTTTTTAAAGGGCTCGGAAAGAGCACCCCCCTTAACCACCCGGGGGGGGACCCCCTGACGCCCCCCGAAACCTTCCTTGAGAGTTTCAAGGAAGGTTCGGGGAGAAAACCCCTCCGACCCCCGCCCCCCCCAAAAAAACTTGAGCGGGGGGCGGGGGGCGGGGTTCCGATGGGGACCCCTCCTAGCCTTTCCCAGAACCCCTCCCTGCGGGGGGGGTTGGAGGGGGATGCGGATGGAACTCCCTTAAACCAGGGTGGGGCGGTCTGGAGGGGGTAGGCCCCTCGAACCCCTCAAAAAACATCCCCTAAGGTTTTTGTTGGGGGACCCCTCAAGAAATTGAGGGATTCTCTTGAGGGGGGGGTCTGGGAAGGAAACCTTCCTGACCCCCCTGCCCCAAAAACCATTGAGGGAAGGATGGACGGTTTCTTGGTGGGGAACCCCCTTTAACTTCACCCCAACACCTCCCCTGAGGGGTTTTCCGGGAGGGGGATCGGTGGGAACAACTTCCCCAACCCCTGGGCTTCCGGCTTCCGTTGTTGTTTGTCCTGTCCAAGCGGGGTGGGAAACTGCCACCATCTACTGCCACCACCTCCTCCTCCTCCTCCTCCTCGTTATCGTCCTCCTCATCCGCATCATCATCATCATCATCATCATCATCATCATCATCATCATCATCATCATCATCATCATCATCATCATCATCACCATCACCATCACCATCACCAACACCATCACCATCATCAAAATCAGCATCATCATCGTCATCATCATCAGCATCATCAGCTTTATCACCATCATCAACACCATCATCAGAATCATCATCAGTATCATCATCATCGGCAGCATCATCATCATCATCGTCATCGTCAGCATCATCATCCTTACCAACATCACCATCCCCATCAACATTATCAGCATCACCACCCTCAAGCATCACCACCATCATGAGCATCTTCATCACCACCATCACCATCACCATCACCGTCACCACCACCACCATCATCATCAGCATCATCATCATAAACATCAGCTTCACCATTATCATCATCACCAGCATCATCATCATCAACATCATCACCATCATCATCATCATCATGAACAACATAATCATCATCATCATCATCATCATCATCATCATCATCATCATCATCATCATCATCATCATAAACAGCATCACCATCATCATCATCATCATCATCATCATCATCATCATCATCATCATCATTACCATCAACATCAACACCAATCAGTTTAAGACTGTTCTCCCTGATCTGTTCGCGTGTCATTCGGCACGTCTATCCCGAACCCTCGATACCCGCCCTCTTCGTCTTTGATCGTGCACCCTTAGGGTTATATCTTTGTTACCGTCAACGTGTACTTCGTGCAGCCACTAAGGCAGGGAAAGAGAGGACGGATGAAGGAAAAGACAAGGGGCAAGCGGGTTGCTGAAGCGCGCGTCCTGCATGAATGGCTCGGACATTTCAAACGACAACGCGATTCAAAAAGAATTCATGCGGAAATCCACAGCGAGAGCGTGATTCCTGAGTGTCGAAGGGCGCGGCGTGTGAATTAATTGCCAGGAATTCTAAAGCGAGAGCGCGAGTTCTGTTTAAATTGTGAAGAAGTTCCGCGCGAGAGCGCGATTTGGAACACATGGGGAAATAACAGACGGCGGCCGTTGTTGTTGCAACAACTCGGGGGTCAGGGGCCCAGTTTGGAGACCCCCCCGCTTTCCCTTGTAAAAAGCAGGGTGCGAGCCCAGATAATAACAAACACTTTAATCCCACCAGCCCTCTGGGCGGATGTGGTTTAGAGGGCCCGTTCTGCTCCACCCCTCTCTTCCCCTTCGGGGAGGGGGTTTATCACGTGCCTGGCACGCTCGGGCCCCGGGGGTGCCTGGAGCGCGTGGCGCACCTGGCACGCGTGGCGCACCGCGCCCCAGCGTCCCGCACATGGGCTCGGTTCTGGCTCCCAGTAGCTGCCCATCCAAAGACGACCGCTGAACATGCAGAGGCTCGGGTGGTACGTATGTGTTGGGAGGGCGGGTGGGAGTGAGCTAGACGGTCTGCCAGTTAGGAGGGTGTATTGATCACTGTTCCCTATTAATAAACACCCCCTCCCCCAGGCGACTGGGGACCAACCCGAGTCCATGCCGACCCCCCCCCCACCATCCCTTGTAAAAAACAATACAGAACACACTTTGCCTCCAAATTCAGAACATGCGCAGCCAGCCCGATGCGGCCCCCCCCCACCATCCCTGCCAAAAAACAATACAGAGTACACTTGGCGGCGGCGGCGGCTGCGGCTGCGGCGGCGGCGGCGGCGGCGGCGGCGGCTGCGGCGGCGGGGGCGGGGGCGGCGGCGGCGCGGCGGGGGCGGGAGCGGCGGCGGCGGGGCGGCGGCGGTGGCGGCAGCGGCTGCGGCTGCGGCGGCGGTTAGGCAGCGGGGGCGGCGGCGGCGGCGGCGGGGCGGCGGCGCCGGCGGGCGGCGGCGGCGGCGGCGGTGGCGGCGGTGGCGGCGGCGGCGGTGGCGGTAGCGGCAGCGGCTGCGGCGGCGGCGGCGGCGGCAGCGGCGGCGGCGGCGGCGGCGGATTGGCCCCCAGTAGCTGCCCATCCAGAGACGACTGCTGAATATGCTGAGGTTCGGGCCAGACCCGGGTGCTACGTATGTGTTGGGAGGGCGGGTGGGAGTGAGCGAAACGGCTTGCGGGCGGGGAGGGGGTAACTTGACCCCTCCCCCTACCCCCCCCCCCCGGGCCTGGGGGCCGCGGGTGGTTGGAACGCCTCTTTTGGCTTAAGATGGCCTAAGATGGCGCCAAGACAGCCCAAGAGAGCCCAAGATGACCTCCAAGATCGCTTAAGATAGCCCTCGATGACTCAAGATAGCTCCTAACAAGTCTACACGAGGCTCCAAGACCGCCCCAAGACGGCCCCAAGTGGCCACGGAGCCTCCCAAGGACGCCCCCGAGGGGCCACAATCCTTCAACAACCTAAGGAACATCAATGTGTTGTGCCTTCTCGCCGTTTCGCTTTCAATGGGCTCTTGAAGCTGCAAGGTGGCCCCAAGATGGCCCAAGAGAACTCCCAATACAGGCCCTCAGAGAGGCCCAAGACGGGCCCAAAAGCGCCCCAAAAGCGGCCCCAAGAGGCGATGTTTCGGGCTCCGAAGGGGGAGGGGGGCGCAACTGCCGCCGCGCTCCTTTTTGAGCAGTGGCATCCAAGATGGTCCCAAGAGACCTCCCAGACCCCCCCAAAAAAAACAAGATTCCCCAAAAGAGCCCCATGGGTGCCCCAAGAGCCACCACGGTCCAGAGACCTCCTGCTCCGCCTCGTCCTCCTCCCAATGCCCCCACAATAATGTATCACAGAAAGTAGGTAGGAGGTGGGCGGAATATGAGGAGATATGCGTGAGCAGGAGGAGACGCGCCCGAAAGTCACGACCGTCGGTGTGCGTCGCAACATGTGCTGTTTTGGTATGGGCTGGTGGGGATACTTTTTCGGTTGCGGCCGCGAGCGAAGAGCGCACGCGGCGAACAGGGTGTCCGGGCCGACGGGCGAGCCGAATTAGCTACAAGACGCGCCGCTAGCCGGCCGGCCCACACACAAAGCAACCGCGGGGCTGTGCGGGAAGCAGACGGCAGGGGACATCCTGGGAAGCTCGGGCACGTGCAGTCTGACAAAATTTCGAGAAATTCGCTGCCTGCCGTGAGGCATAGCCCACACAGCGACATGACGTGCACCGGGGCAGACGTGCCCGTCATACTGGGTGGGGGCAGGCGCGAAGCCCGATGAGCGAGTCGCCAGTGGGACGCCAGGCCCAATCCGTCCCAACGACGTGTGCTGGCTAGGGGAGCTGAGCTGCCGAGGAACGTGGAACGACGCAACTTGCCGGAAGAGGGGGGATGAGCCCAGGGTGCTGTTGCGGCTGCGAAAGGCTGAACCACTCCGTCGCGGTCACAGCACCCAAAAGTCCACTGGTGGGGATACTTTTTTGGTCGGCGGCTCTCAAGGCGAGGGACAAGGAGCGGGTCAACGCCCGGGGCGCGGAACGAAGATAATTGGCCGACTGGTGGGGATACGCGAAGCGTGAACAATTTTAAATTACAGTATGCCCCAAAGTGGGATCACCAATACTTATGCTTTAAGAGAACAGTCCAGCCCTTCTTCTACAATAGCAACAACAGCAGCAACGACAGCAACAACAGCAACAGCATCAGCATCAGCAACAGCAGTGGCAACAGCAACTGCAGCAACAACACTTACAACGACCACAACAACACCAGCAACAACACCAACCACAACAACAACAACAACAACAACAACAACAACAACAACAACAACAACAACAATTACTAGCACGTGGGGACACTCCGTTCTCACCAGTGCCAGGGTTTTCATAGGAGGCGGGCAATACCCCCACTTTGTGGGGGGGCCGGTTCAAGCTCTACCAAATTTCCAAACGACTCTTCGCCACCACCCACACCCAGCTTCCCGCCCTATGACGTTCGGACACTTCACTTCGTGGCATGCGGACGACCGTGGCTACTATTCAGGGCCCCGCGGCCGACGACGACGGCGTGCGCGCGCGAAGAAAAAACGAATGTGTCCCGCATGGTATTATTTGACAGGGATGATGGCCCTGGCAGGTGCGCAACCGTTGTTGCAGAAGTTCGAAAAAGTTGCTCGCAAAAGCCCGTTTGACAGAAATGTTTAAAAAGTGTTGGGTTTCCTACGAATCCGCAAGAGCGCGCGGGATGAGATTTTGACAATTTTTTGTTGAAAAACCATTGGTTTTTTGATGTTTTTATGTTAAAATCGCTGCGAACACTAAGGTTTTGGAAGGATTTCGTCTTGCGCGCGCGAATGTCCACTTTACCTTATTTTTTGCAAGGGATTCTTGAAATTTGATTATATTAGAACAAGAAATGTCATTTTCTATTGTTTTTTGCAAGGGAAAGCGGATTACAACAAAACAACCGGATCCTGTACACACCCTCTTTTCTGAGGCTTCCTCACGAAAATGATGAAAATGTAGCTGCGGCCTAGGCGGCGCAGGGGGGGCGCGCACCAGGGGGCCCAACAATAATTATTCTTTAGAATAAATAATGTTCAACAACAACCGCACCAACAACAACAAACACATCATCAGCCACAACAACAACAGCGACACCGAAAACAACAACCACCACAACAACACCATTCGTTGTAAGACTGCTCGGTCCGATCTGCTCGCGTATCATGCAACACGTCTATCCTAAACCCTCGGTGCCCGCCCTCTTCGTCTCCAATCGTGCCCCCATTGGGGGTATATCTTCCTTACCTGCCACGTGCATGTAGCGCAGCCCCTGAAACAGGGGAAAAGGGGACGGATGGAAGGGGGATGGAGAAGGATGGAGCACGAAAGGAATTAGCAGGAGAGGGGGCCAGGAACAGAAAACACGCGGAAGAACCAGACGAGCAGATCGGGCGGGCAGACCCTGGCGAGCGGGTCGGAAAGACGAGCCCAGGCGATCAGGTCGAGCAGGCGGGTTGCCGAAGCATGAGTCCTGCATGAATCGCGAGGACGTCTTGAGCGATAGCGCGATTCCCACGTAAATCGTGGGAAAGGCCAAAGCGAGAGCGTGATTCCTGAGTGTCGAGGACGCGGCGTCTGAATAACTTGCGAGGAAGAGCGCGATTCGTGTATACATTGTGAGGAAGTCCTGCGCGAGAGCGCGTTTTTGGAATACATTGTGAGGAAATATTGAGCGGGAGCAGTTGTTGTTATAAGTCGGGGGCAAGGGGCCCAATCTGAGCCCAACGCCTTCCCCTTGTTAAAACAAGGTGCGAGCCCCAGGAGGAGCACTGCAATGGGAAAAGCACCATGGGCTCATCATCATCATCATCATCATCATCATCATCATCATCATTATCATCATCATCATCATCATCATCACCATCACCATCACCATCACCATCATCATCACCACCACGACCATCACCATCACCATCACCACCACCACCAGCACCATCACCATCACCATCATCATCACCATCACCATCACCATCATCATCACCATCACCATCATCATCATCATCATCATCATCATCATCATCACCATCACCATCACCATCACCACCATCATCATCATCATCACCACCACGACCATCACCATCACCATCACCATCACCATCACCATCACCATCACCATCATCATCATCATCATCATCATCAGCATCATCATCATCATCCTCCTGCTCCTGCTCCTGCTCCTGCTCCTCCTCCTCCTCCTCCTCCCCACTTCCCGCTTGCCTCCTTGGCCTGGCCGAACTGAAGCGACCCGAGGCCCACGGCGATGGAGCCTCGGCTCCCCGCGCCCGGCACCGCGGGCGCGCAAGGCGTCCAGAGCCAGACCGAGGAGGAACAGGCCCACGGCGAGCGGAGGAGGAGGAGGAGGAGGAGGAGGAGGAGGAGGAGGAGGAACAGAGCCCGAAGAAGAACAAATGCCATAATCATAAACTTTTGGCGCTCCGCGCAGAGCGCTAAAAGTTTACGTTTATCTAGTTGTTTCTTCTTCTCGAGAAGGTGCAGGCCTTCTCAGAAAGCGGCGGCACTTCTCAGAAGCCCTGGCGCCATCTGAGAACTGCTCTGGGTCTTGGGGGAAAGCGTAGAAAACTTCTCAGAAGGCCAGGGGACTGCCGAGTCTTCTGCGAAGGCCCGCCCCTTCTCCCCTCCCCCACCCAGGCTCGCCGCGGAGCACGAGGAGGAGGGAGGAGGAAGAGAGGGATCCTGAGCACTCGATCCTCGAGCCTGGAACCAAAAAGGATGCAGGTTGATTAAAAGGAAATGGAGGAGAAGGAGGGAGGAGCGAGGAATGAGGAGGAGGAGGAGAAGAAAGAGGAGGAGGAGGAGGGCGAGGAAACAGAAGGGAGGCTGAGCGGGAGCGGGAGGGGGAAGAGGCGAGATGACACCAGGAGTGAGAGAGTGTGCAGGCAAAGGAGGTACTGGATCCAAGCCGCCGTCTCCGTCCCGCAACCTGTCTCCGTGCCGCTCGCCCGCGCGGCCGTGCGACAGCAGCTTGCACCGTACCGCAGGGCACTGGAGCATACACGTGCCGGGCATTGAGCCCCTCAGGGAAGCGCAAGGCAGCCGGGAAGACGCATGGAACAGCGCCAGGAGAACGACGCAGCATGGCATTCCTGAGATATGCAATGGCAAGACGAGATGACTTCAGTCACGCTCTGATCGATAACCTACTGTAACACATGACTGTCTAAGCATAGACCCTGAAGTAATCCTTCTAGGGCGTAAGTGGCTTAGATCGTTTCATCATCCACCCCCCCGTCTTCCCCATCGGGGAGGGGTTTACAATTCCGCCGACCATCTCCCCCTGGACCTGGACGAGGGGGGTCCGCGAGGGGTTGGAGCGTCCAAAACGGCCTCGGCGAGGAAGCCAACCCCCGAGGCTCCCAAGGGTGCCCTAAGAGGGCCCCAAGGGGCGCCTTGGAGGCCCGAGAGGCCCCGAAGAGGCCCCCAAGATGCACCCAAGAGGCTCCCAAGAGACCCCCAAGAGGCTCCAAGGGGCCCCCCAGAGACACCCAAGACGCCCCAAGAGGCTACCGGGACTGCCAAGGGACCCCCAAGACGCCCCAAGCGGACTCCAACAAGCTCTCGAAACAAGTCCGAAGAGACTCCGAGAGGCATCCAAGAGGCCTCTGGCGTTTCTGCTCGCTCTCATCCTCCTCCTCTTTCTCCTCCTCCTCCTCCTCCTCCTCTCCTTCTCCTCCTCCTCCTCCTCCTCCTCCTCATCTTCCTCATCCGCCTGTTCCTCCAGCTTCCTCGTCCCTCCTCCCCCCGCCTATCCCTCCCCCCTCCTCTTCTTGCTCCTCCTCCTCCTCCTCCTCCTCCTCCATCCTCCCCCTCGTGGGGTACGACGTCCTACCCAGCTTTTTATTCCACTGCGTTCTCCCCCACATCCCTGATCAGAGCAACTCGTCTGGGCATCGTCTCTGAATGGGCTGGTGGGGTTACGCGAAGCATCTCGAATACACTCACTGCCATAGAAAAAAACGACGAACTATGACCCAGTGAACGTCCCGTGAGCCTGCTGACATCATCGTGCGATGCTCTCCCTAGTTGAATACAATCTAACGCACACGAACCGCCACTTGCTGTTCACTTGCTACGCTCCATGACTACCCTCAACGCCTCACCCATCTTGAAACCACCCATCCGCACCTCGCCATCGCTCGGACGTCCATTTCCTGTGCATTGTTCGGTTTCGTGCGTGTTTTTTAAGCTCGATGGTCCAGGATCGTCTTCAATGGCTCTCGCCGAAAAAAATGCACACGTCCGAGCGATGGCAGGGCACGTGCTCCTCCGTGCAAGCACTTCTTGCCTGCACCCCCTGCTTTCACGCGCGCCCTCGGCGATGTGAACATGCGCTGTCGCACAAGCACACGCAAAGTACAGCACACACGAAGTGAGACTGTCCCATTCAGCATTTTATCACTGTCGCCGATTCCCGTGCCACCCCCCCTTCCATCAGGCTTCTTGGTCACAGGGTGGCCGCCCGCCACGAAGCCGATGGTGGCACCTGGAACTGCAGACCGACGAAGGCTGCAAGAAGATTAAAGAGAAACCGTCGGAATTGCATAGCCATGCTAGGCATCGCCGAAAGAAACAACCTTACCAATCGTAGGCGCTTGTTGGCCATGACTGGATGCGTCGGAAACCGAATGTCCGCCGACCCCTTGGAGCGACCCGGCGCGTGAAGTACTTGCACCTCCCCAAACCCCTCCCCAGGAGCTCGGCCTTGCCGGTTTGGGGGAGGGTCCGGCCAGATTCTGCCAGGGTGGCCATTTGCTTCAGTGGTGCACCCGGACGGCCCCCGACGGCCTCAACATGGCCCCAAAAGGCCCCAAGACGGCCCAAGATGACCTCCACGTGGCCCCAAACGGCCCAAAGACGCCCCATGATGGGGTGAAGACAGCCCAGGAAACCCTCAGGACAGCCCCGAAGGGCTCCAAGAGGACTCCCGAAGGGCCTTCAGAAACACAAATCGTCCCAATCCTCTCGGGAAACATAAAGTTTTCGCACGTGCGCCTTACTGGTCATAATCGTGTCCACGACGGCTCAACGGGCCCGCAAGGTCGCACAAAGACGCCCAAGACCCCAAAAGGGCTCCAACACGGCCAAGGAAGTCCCCAAAAGGGCCACGCGACTGTCCATGTGGGTCGTCAAAGTGGCCCAAGGGCCCCACAAGACGGCTTCAAAGAGGTCCCCAAAAAGCTGGAATCCGGATCCACTGGGCCGGGAGGGAAGGCAAGGGCAGAGATGGGGAAAACAGCAACAGCCCCACGCTCGAGCAGATTCTCAAGAAGGCCTCGGGCAGGGGAAGTAGGAGGGGGAGGTAAGTGCTCACGAAAATATGATGGTGTCTGCGCAGCCCCTCCAGTCATGTGTATTGCACATGGGGGGATGACTTCATATGTCGCATGTGATTACCGCTGCTAGCATGTGACGCTACGTGGTTCAACATCAGAGAACCGTCAAAGTGTTACCGTCTCTTGCGATCTGCACTCCGACCCCTCCCATCAATCCCAAGACCAGCTCCGCCCACTACATCCCCGTGAAAAAAAGTCTAACAAAAGTGGTACAAGGATGAAAGCCAAAACGATGCTGAATCAGACCAGGCGGGGCCCGTCGCACGAAGCAACATCGGCCTGGCAATGTTAAGGAAGGACGTCTCGTCTGCATTGCGCGGTGCACGGTAGCCATCCGACTGTGGGAACGAAGTCGCACGGCAGAACGTGGAACCGCCCACGCCAGCGGCCCTGTGAAAGATTAGTTTGGAAGACCAACTGGGCATTAAGTGGCGTCCGCCTCCCAATGTCGCCACCAGGCGCGCAAGCCAAAGCATGGCATATCAATGACCTGGCCCATGGTGCACGCCTGCGCACGCTGCCAACCTTGAAAGGCGAACGTCACTGAATGATCCTTTTTGGGCGTTGCCGTGTGCAAATCATTCAAGACGATCGTCTTGTTGATTTTGTTATAACTTTTCTCCCGGCTGTGTAGCCATCCTCCTCATCATGCCTCCTCCTTCGCCTTCCCGTCCTCGTCCGCACTTCTCCACCCTCATCCCTCCTCGATCCTCCTACATACGTTTGGTCCTCCGGAGCGAGCAGGCATCGAACAAAAAGCTGTGCATCCAATGCGTTGGTACGCGAGACCGCGAGGCCTCCCTTTTCAGACTGTCGCCAACGGCGCGCCTTCCGTTGGCTCCAACGTCAAGACCACGTCCTTCCCCATCGTGACCTGTGCGAGCGCTTGCTCTCTGCTGCGCAACCTGCTCGGACGCTCTGTACTTACGAACGCTCTGATCCTCGCTCTTCTCCTCCTCAACCTTTTCCTCTTTCCCCTTCCCCTCCTCCCTCCTCCTCCTCCTCCTCTTCCTCCTCCTCCTCTTCCTCCTCTTCCTCCTGCTCCCTCCACCTGCTCCTTCTCCTCCTCCTCCACTTCCTCCTTCTCTTCCTCCTTTTCCTTCTCCTCCTCCTCGCCCACCTCCTTCTCACCCCTCCTCCTCCTCCCCCTCACCCTCTTCCTCCTCCTCGTTCTCTTCCTCCTCCTATTCCTTCGCCTTCTCCCTCCTCCTTTTCTCCAAACCTTTTCCTCATAAGCAACTACTTCATGTCGCCCCTCTAGACGTGTCGATAGGGCGGGCAGGGCGTTTCGCCTGAGACGTCCATACCATGTGAAATCTTGAAAACTTAAATTTGCAACAGCTTCGCGGATGGAGGGCGGAATGCTTTCAAAGTGGAGTTCTCTCCTTCGCGCCGCGCACGTTCGTCAAACAAAAACTGCACCCGTCTCAAGAACGGAAGGGGGGGGCGCTCTAAAAATGTGGTTCGGGCCTCAGCTCCGCGCTCATTCGTCTTACAAGTTTGCAACCGCTTCACGGGTCGAGGGCGGCCCGCTGTGAAAAGTTGTGTGCATCGCCCTCGCGCCGTGCGCAGTCATGCTAACAGTCTGAAGCCGCTTCAGAGATAGGGAAGATCGTTTTCAACATGCGGTTCTTGCCTGAGCGCCGCGCTCATTCGTTCTGCAAGTCTGTAGCAATGTCAGAGATGGAGGGTGGCGCGTTTCAATATGTGGCTCTCGCCATAGCTCCGTGCGCAATCGTTGTAGACTTGGCAACGTCTTCACGGACCGATGGACGGATCGCTTTCGAAACGAAATTGATGCGTCACCACCACGAATATGCGTTCAACGTTATGCAGCAATTTCACGGATGAAGAGCGGGTCCTTTTCAAAGTGGGATTGTCGCCTGAGCGCCGCGAACATGCGTCTAAACATGTGTAACCGTTTGCAGGATTGAGCGCTTGTAGATTTCAGCACGAGGCTTTCGCCTCAGCACCACGCTCACTCGCTCATTCCCCAAAGTGAGATTCTCGCGTGAGGCGTCACCACCTTCAGCAATCCGAACTTCAACGCGTTTAGCGCTGCGCGGATCCAGGGCGTATCTTTTTCAAAACGGGGCTGACACTTGAAATTAACACGAACGTCATGACCACAAATGCACGCCTGTGCAACAGTTGAACTAGCACTTCGTTGCTACGAAAGTTCGGCCGACATTTCAAGATTCCAGGAAGGCGGCGAGGCCCCAATACAATGTTGTTAATGGGGGACATTCCGAAAAAAAGGCCGTTTGGACACGGGGCCCCAGTTCAATGTTGTCAGGTGTGTCGCGTCGCTTCGTGCAGCGAGGGATTGTCCACGCAGTTTGGATTTCGGAGCAGGGAGTGTCGACGTCGGTCGAAAACGCTTCGCCGAAGAAGTGTTGGGCGGAATCGCCATTTCGGCGTGGGGCCGACAAGCTTCGACATCAAGTCAAAATCACTGCTCGAAGAAATCCCACGCGAAAACCACACATTCGATTTTCGGGCTACCGAAATACAGATTTAAATGCCACGCAAAATGCCCGAGTCAAAGCGACAATCCCGCTTGGGATTTCATCGGAAACAACTCGACCGAAGTCGAAATTATCGGGTTCGACATCGAAATGCGATTCCGCCAGGTACTTCCTCCAAACCGGTTCAGACTCGAAACGGCGATCCCGCCCATGGCTTCCCCCCAAACTCAACTCGAACCTTTTCGGAGTCGAAGTCGGAATGGAGTATTGTTTGCTTTTGCGAGACGAGGGCCGCAGAAACTGATGATACTTCATGGAGGCCACCGCCTAATTTCCGGATTGGGCGAAGCGCGCCATACAGGTACCGCTATACTTTTACATGCAGATCTCGCTGGCAAAGTCAGCAGAGTTCGTTTACAGTCTGGAAGAATCACTGCAGTTGACATTGATAACAATTTGGGGCACAACTTTCGGATCTTCGCTGTTTACGCTCCTCACCTTGGTTACGGCCACGCTTGTCTACTTGATCTCTACGCAGAGCTGCAAGATCTTGCGGCTGAAGCCGCACGTTCTGGTAGGAAGGTGCTGATTGGTGGAGACTTCAACACGCAACTCCGGCTAGGCCTACGCAGTGACCTGCTTTGTGGGTTTGCATCAGAGCACAAGCTAACCATCACGACAGACGATGAGAATATTCCCTGGGCAAATGGACTTTCGAGAGCACATTGGGAAAGCGACGGCAATTGGATTGCATTCTCGTCGACAGCACTTTCTGCTTTGGCGCGGCCGGGGCGTCGAACCAGCTTGACCTCGGTTCAGATCACCGGAGCGCTGCGTCATGCACTGATATATTGGGGCCGCTTGCGGAGAGGCCCGCTCGACCAAGACGTGCAAAATGGCGAGGGTCTTCCCAGTGTCAGGGGGCAGTAGAGACCATGATGGAGGGTTGTCCTGGCTGATCAGTTCAAGATCTACAGAAAGTTGTGGTTGATGCGGCATGTGTGTCTGGGGCGTTGGAGCCCCCCCAGAAATGCCGGAAGCCATGGCGCAACGATGACCTTCAAGAACTACGGCGCCAACGCCGGCAGCGCTCGGACATTGCCGAACGACGCCGGTTGTCCAAGTTGATCGCCAGCGGCACGAGAAAAGCTTTGAGGGAGTGGCAGACACAGAAAATCCGCGCACAACTGGAGCTCTTTTCAGATGCGAAGAAGATCCCGGCACTCTCTATGGAGCCTGTGAAGGGCAAAGCTGCGCTGCGACCTGACCCGCAAGCCTTCGCGACCATGCTGCAGAACGTCTACTCGTCAGAGGCCGACGCGCCACCTCCCCAAGACACTTCGCAGCTCTGGCGTATACCAGATATAACGCCATGGGAATTGCAGACAGCTCTCAAATCGATGGCCGGCAAAAGATGTGCTGATAAACATGGTGTTTTGTTGGAAATGTTTCGCCATGCGGGCCCTCTTGCCCAATCAGTCCTGGTTGCATGTCTGAACGGCGTCGTGCACACGGGTGTCTCCCCCAACGACTGGAAGGAGCTGTTGTATGTGATGATTCCCAAGGCTGGCAACGCTCTGGACCCCAACAACTGGAGACCACTGGCTATCTTGGATATTTCATACAAGATCCTCGCCAGAATCTTGCACGCCCGTCTCAAAGCCATCCTGGAGCCCCGCCAGCCGCCAGAGCAGCTGGGATTTCGATCCGCCGCTGGGACAGAACACGCGCTCTTAATACTCGAGAACGTTATTCAGAAATCAATTGAATGAGATTCGCCGGCATGGATCGTGAGCATCGATTTGACGAAGGCGTTCGACAGAATTGAACACCGCGCACTATTCGCTGCCCTGTCACAGCAAGGGGCCCCTGTCGAGTACCGCACGCTGCTCCAATGCTTGTACGCAGCTCAACGCGGACTTGTGGACAGCTGACAGTTCGACATAGAACGCGGGGTCAGACAGGGTGACGTGATTAGTTCAATGCTCTTCAACGCTGCGCTGGAAGCGGTCATGTGCCGGTGGCAGGCTCGGCTTGGCAATTGCGGTCTCCTGCTCAGCCCGCAGAGCGATCGTTTGACTAACATCAGATATGCAGACGATCTACTTCTATTTGCTCGGTCGCATGAGGATGCAGTGTTCATGCTCGATTGCCTCGTGGAGGAACTGAGCAGAGCTGGTCCGTCCGTCAACGCGCGGAAGACGAAGATCTTGACAACAAATGCGAACGTTGCAGCAGACGAGGTCCCGCTCTTCCTCGACGCCGGCGGCGGGATGGTTGAGGTTGTCAAGCACGCGGGCACGCACAAGTACCTTGGCCGGCTGCTGAGCGGCGATTTGAGGATGCGAGGTAAGTGCAACCTGGAGCAACGCATGAAGTGCGCTTGGCTTAAGTACCACCAGTTTTCAGACACGTTGCAGAACCGCAACATTCCGATCAAATTACGCCTGCGTCTGTTCGGCTCCGTGGTGACGCCGTCTGTCCCCTACAGTCTGACCACAACGCCACTCACTCAAAAAGACCTCGAAAAGCTGGACGCGCTCCAGAGGACAATGTTGAGGCGCATTGTTGGGCGGGTACGTTTGGAGGAGGAAGCATGGCAGCTTACTGGCCATCGCATGAAGCGCCGGCTGGAGGCGGCCTGAGCGCAACAGCCAGTCACAGAATGGAGCATCCGGCGCAACCATCAGAGAGATTTGCTGGTCCAACAAATCGAACACGGATATCTGTCGCAATGGTGTTCTCTGTCGTATGCTTGGCGGCCTAGTCGAGCGCGACATAGAGGCCGACCGCTTCAGAGGTGGACCGACTGAATCTGCGAATGTCAGCGCAGAGTTCCTCGTGAAGGTCCCCGTGAGCGAGATCTGAGATTTTTCTTCCATTCTGCCCTTCTCCCTCCGCCCTCTCCTCCCCCGCCCCCCGCCCCTGCCTGCCCGTGAATCAATCTTCGTTAGACGCTCGCACATTTGACCGGGTGCCGGAGGCACGGGCCAAGTTTCCCCCCCGAGTTCTAGATTGGCACGGCCTTCGGGCCGATCGGGAGTTGCGTTGCGTTGCTGTTCAAAAGCTCTGGCACTCAAAGACGCGATGGTTCCTGCCCACCATTGGAAGCTTAGTCCGGCATCGTACCGGCAGGGCCACGAAATTGGTCAAAACTTTCGTAGCGGCGATGGACCCGCATGGTTGACGTGAACGGTTGCTTCGGTCTCAGCGGTCCCAGCTGCCAGTCTCCGAACGCGGTTGTCAAGTGCGCGGCGCTGTTTGCAACACGACCAAAACTCGTCTGAGATCCCACTGGGCCCGCATGGTTGACATGAGCGTTTGCTGTGGTTTCAGCGGTCCCTAATGTTAGCCGCCGAGCGCGGTTGTCAAGTGCGCGGCGTTTTTTGCAATGCGACCATACCTCAAGATACCACTGGGCCTGCATGGTTGACGTGAACGTTTGCTTTAGTCTCAGCACTGCCTACTGTCAGCCGCCGAGCGCGGATGCCATGTGCGCAGCATTGTTCGCAACGCGACCATAACTTGCCTGAGGTCCCACCTCGCCGCTACGAAAGCTTGGCCGACATGTTGCCATTCTCGGTCGGCGGCTGGGCCCCAGCACCACGTTGTCAAATGGGGGACATTCTGAAAAAGCAAAAGGGCCGTTTGGACACGGGGTCCCAGTTCAGTGTTGCCAGGTGCGTCGCGTCGCCTCGTGCAGCGACAGCATGTCCACGCAGCTTGGGTTTCGGACCAGGGAGTGTCGACGTCGGTCGAAAACGCTTCGCCGAAGAAGTCTTGGGCGGAATCGCCATTTCAGCGTGGGGCCAACGAATTTCGACATCAAGCCGAAGTCGTTTCGTTTCCCGAAGGAATGACAAGCGAGAACCACACTTTCGACTACTCGGATTACCGAATTAGAAATTCGAAATACAGGCGGGTTGCCCTAGTCGAAACGACGATTCCGCTTGAGACCTCATAGGAACAAGCAATGTCGACCGAAGTCGAAATTTTCGGGTTCGACATCGAATTGGCGATTCCGCCAAATACGTCCTCCAAACCAGAAGTCGAAACCCGTTCGGTTCAAAGTCGAAATGGCGATCCCGCCCATGGCTTCCCCAAACACTCAATTCGAACCATTCCGGATTCGAAATCGAAATTGTGAGTCTTGTTGCTCGCAGGCTCTGGTGCTCAATTGCGCGATGATTCCTGCCCACCACTGGAGACTTAGTTCGGCATCGTATGGGAAGGGGCACGAAATGGGCCAAAACTTTCGTAGCGGCGATGTAGGGGGCGGTCCTCTTCGAAATGGGATCTGGCTGGACATCTCGCTGAACTCTATGATCTTAGTCTTTCGCTCTCCTGATTCCGCGCTGGAAACATGCAAGACAATTCCTTTCAAAGCAGGGCCCTCGCCACCGTGACAGGCCAAACTGTGCTGATCTTTCAAGGGGACGCCTCTTGTACGGAGAAGAATACGGTCTGACCTAGGACAAAATAACATCCTTCAAGAACATGAGGCCCTACGCCAGCCCAAACTGAAGAACATTCGAGAGTGCCCTCCCCCAGGATGCACAAGAACATCCAACAAACACGGAGAACATTAGGGTACCCTCCCCGAACCGACCTCGATCTTACACCTCGGTCCGACCATAACTTGTATGGGGCGTATGAGGAGGGACCCTGGGATGGGAGAGTGTAGTGCAGCATCACTGATGCAACTTTGGTCTACTCAGGTCCTCCCTCACTCCTCCTTCTCCTCCTCCTCCTCCTCCTCCCTCCTCCTCCTCCCTCCTCCTCTTCTTCCTCTTCTTCCTGCTCCCCTTCGCTCTTCTTCCTCTCCTCGTCCCTCCTCCTTCCTGCTCCTCGTCCTCCCCCGTGACCTGCAGACTGGGCACATGGCCTGGACAGGTACGGACGAAGGGGCGACCCCGGCCAGGGCTCTGGCTGGGGACGTCACGGGGCGGCCCTGCTCGTCCAGCGGCTGCCGCTGAGATCGAGCGCTGCCGCCGCCACACGATCACCAGGAGCTGCGGCAACACCATCAGCATCATCGTCAGCCCCTCCTCCTCGTCGCCGTCGTCATCGCCATCGACGTACTCATCCTTGTCCTCGTCCTCATCCTCGGAGTCCGGATCATAAGACCGGATATCACTTAAGAGAGCATGCATGAAAGCAAGCTGCGCCGAGAAAGGCGCACAGAAAAACGCTGTGCCCGCTGACACGAGCTGAACTACTGGCGCACATGACTCCTGATCCATGTGTTCACCCTCGTCGTCGTCGTCGTCGTCGTCATCGACAGCCTCACCCCTCTCCTGTCTGTGCTCCCCCCTCCGAGCTGCAGGCGGATGCGACCAGCAGGTTTGCCATCGAGTTGACGAAGACGGTACCAACAAAACCAGGGTCTGGAATGAAAGCGTAAGCTCCTCGGTCAAGTTCGGAGAGGCAGGGTGGGTGAAGGAAGGGCCAGCATTTGGGGAGAAGGAATAGGTGGGGAGAAGGGATTGAAAAGGAAAGGAGGGATAAGGAGGAGGGGCACGGGTTGATTAGAGGAGAAAGCGGAGGAGATGAGATGGTATGGAAGCGGTGCAAGACGGGAAGGAACTATGGAGAGAGACAGAGGGAGGAGGATGAAAGCGAGTGAACTGAATGGGCACTGCGGGAATTCAATAGCGAGGGCGGCGGGCACAGAGAGCAGGGAGAAGAAACAGAAGGAGAGAGGGACCATGCGGTTGCGGCTCCAGTCGTCTTAGCCAGGACGTTTATCCATTGTCCGCCCTCTCCTTCTGCTGCTGAATCGATCATTCTCGAGGAAGCGGATGAGGCGGTGAGGACACTCACAACGGCAGTAAGCAGCCAGCCGACCGACACGTTGCCTCAGGCCCCGCGAAAGCAAAGAGCAGGGAGAGAGGGATTGAGGTGCGGAAAGCGACGAAATCTAAGATCGGCAAGAAATACGCACATGGGAGAGGAGGTAGAGAGAGAGAGAGAGACCAAATATCCGTGATCCCTCCTCCTGCACTTCTTGTCTACCCGCGATCCCATCTGCAGTTGTGATCCTCCCCGAACTTCATCGCCTTACACTCCATCACCTCCTCATGATCATTCTGTTACTCCTCACCATACGCATACCCTCTTCATCCCCCTCCTCCTGCTCCCCACCCCCTTCCTCCTCCGTGCTCCCCCCTGGCCAAACGGCACACCGCGTCCGCCGTGAACGCCATGAAGCGTGTGAGGCGGCCCGCCGTGCCTGTCTGCTGGACCCATCTGGACCCGTGAGCTGCCAGCGCCGACCAGCGGGCGTCACAAGGGTCTCGCCACCTCAAGTGCAACCCCGACTCAAAATCCGCTGTACTCTGGGCGATGTCGCAGGTAGGGCGGAAGTGTTCGCCCTACTTTTCAAGCTCCTCTGATGCCGATCTCCGCCCTACTGTGCCGTCGCTGCTTTCCCCATAATTACCTTTGCGGATGTCCGCCCTACTCTGTTGAAGCGGAAATTTCCGCCCTACCTGTTCGCATCGCTTGGGGTGCATGTCCGACATCATTTTTCAATCGGAAATCGGCCCAGGTACGGCGGATTCGTAGTCAGGCATGGGCAAGGGCAGGGGCGCTTGCTCTTCCGTTCCTCATCGTGGCCACGCTTCTCGGAATGCACCCCAAACGATGCGAAAAAATAGGGCGGAAATTTCCGGCTCAGGAAGATCGGGTGGATAACTCCGCAATGGCGGAAACAGCGACGGCAACGGAGGGCGGAAGTCGACATCAAAGGATCTTGAAAAGTCTCGCCCTGCTTGAGAAATTACCGCAAGCACCACAGATCCGGAGTCAGGGTTGGGGTCCGCCTGGCCGCGATGGGTCGTCAAAAAACGACCCAGGATGGAAAGCTGGCTCCGGGAAAGGGATCCAGGCTTGGAGGCGGCCGGCGGCTTTGAGCTGGATAAGCCTAGAGAACAAATCTCTCGAGAGGGGGGGCGGCGAAGGCAAATTCACGCAAAATCGGTCCACGAAACCCTCCCTGGTCGTGTCGTCTGCCTCATGGGACCTGGCCCCCACGCGCAGGCCTCGCCACGCCTCGAGTCTCGAGTCCGTGCTCCTTCTTTGCGCCAGAAGGAGATCTACACCTGCTCTAGAACAAGAGCGCACCGTAGACAGATCGACCCGTTCTCCGACCACGTCCCGCGTGAAACGCAACGGCCGCGTTGTCAATGGCCGTGTCCACACCGAACGCGCCTACATTCGTAACGACACCAAATGTTTCGAATGTTTCAATAGACGCTTGTGACTCGACACAGGCCCTATATCTTGGTCTTCTAGGCTCAGAAGACTTGGTCCTCCAATCTTTACACCACCACCACCATGCCTGGCCAGGACCATCATAGCCCTGACATGGTGTGCATGCTCCGGGCCGAGGCCAGCAGGCTTTTTGTTTTTGCGCCAGCCTGGGACCCGGGATGGCCTCGGCCAGGCATGGTGGTGCACAGGTGCCGTCTGCGGATGCCCCATTGCCCACGACCCCCGACATTGTGGTTGTCACTACACCACGCGGATCCTGGAAAGTCTCGCTCCCATCCTAGGAGTTGTTTTTCCACCCTGGGTCCTTTTGCTGACGGCCCTGAAACCCCGTTGATGCACTGAGGCCGAAAACTGGCAAAAACCATCCGTCGTAACATTCTTCCACGGCGCGAAGACATCAGGGCCCATGGGCCGACAGTCGACCTCAGGACCTGTCCAGGGGCGTGTTCAAACCATACTTTCGAAGATGTTCCAGCCTTGGTGACTGTGACTACGAGGGCACCCCAGGAGGACCAAGAAAACCCAAACACACCCAGGGAATTCGATCCTCGAACCTCGAGGAACAGGTGGAGGGAACAGCAGGAGCAGGAGGAGGAGGAGGAAGAGGAGGAACAAACATGCTAATCCTCTCCGTGTTGTTCCTTAACGGATGGCCCCCGACATTGAACACAGGATGTGTAGGAAGAGGAGGGACAGGGATAATCACATGAATAGTTCGATGACGATGCCATGAAAGAGAAGCAAGCCTCTCCCCGAAGCGCTACGGACGAAACGACGTTGAGGCCGAGCGCCACGACGAAGAACCCAAGAAGCCCCGAACTCCTCGCCGAACGAAACGGCCTGTGTCTAATTTACGCACGCCACACGTGTAAACTCGACACGTTGAATGTACACCAATGTCCACCATATGTGTTGTTCCTCCGCTGCTTACGGGGGGTGCGACTTCCAGCGCACATTGAAACTAACATGAGTTCTAAAACGCACAGGGCCGTGAACGCACCCGCTGAGAAGAACAAGTACCGAACCGTCGATGCGGAGCCACCCAGCCACAGCTTTCGAGGGAGGCGCGAGGCCCACACAGATAAGCAGCGGGCGCACCCACCCCGCACGAACAGCACAAAGCGATTGATCCCATGAGCGCCAAGATACGATGCGACACGTACCGAACAAGGTGTGACAGGCTTGAACCAGACACCACCGATGAAGACATATGGCCGCTTAGCTGCATCACAATCAGATGGCTGACGCGATAGCCCATTGCAGCATGATGCGCGGACGCATGCCGAGGGGATCGCGCGTTGCTCCAACCAAGAGCCTGCCCGTTGCCACCGTTCGTCCTACTCGCACGTGCTGGCCCATGCATTGTAGCGGGTGACGGCTGGCTCACGCATCGCAGTGCCCTCTAGCCTAGCCGCAGCGTTGCGCTGCTTATGTCTGCCTTTTTTTCGCACTTGTGGACCCGAGCGTTGTAGCTGCTGACAGTCGGCCAGAGCTTCGTGTCCCACATGACGCTCAGCAACGACTGAACATTCCAAAGCTGTTCGCCCTTCTAGCACGCGTCGATGCCAGCACTGTAGGAGATGGGGCTGAAGTCCGGTGCCCAGAACATTATGTCTGCTGCCATTGCCCGTCCTTCTCGCACGTGCCGCTCCAGACACGGAGGAAGACGACGACCGATGCAAGCTTTGCCTCCTGCGGCATGCTCAGCAGCCGCGGCAACCGCTGGCACCTCGTGCCCACCTTGCACGTGCTGAATGTGATCACGACAACATGATTACAACCTGGAAGCGTGACGAGCGAACCACATGTTTCCTTCTTCCACAACGGATGTGCCCACCTTCGTCACCGCGATCGCCGGCAAACTTGCGCGGGGGGCGCGGCACCCCCCAAGCGACGCGACGCGACGCGACGCGAGGCGGTGGCGGACGCGACGCCAATGCGAGTTTGAGCCCAAATGGCACCTACGCGCCTTTGCCCGCATGTGCTTGATGATGATGATGATGATGAGGAGGAGGAGGAGGAGGAGGAGGGGGAGGAGGAGGAGGAGGGGGAGGAGGAAGGAGGATCGCACACCCGAAACAAGGGGTAGAGCAAAGAGAGAGGTTTGTCCAAACTCCCTCAGGTGCCCATCGGAAAAGGATCTTTTTGTCACCGCGGGTGGCTGGGACAGGCCACCCGCCAGTAGCTACCCATCCAAAGACGACTGCTGAATATGCTGCGGCTCGGGCCAGGATCGGGTGCTACGTACGTGTTGGGAGGGCGGGTGGGAGTGAACGAGACGGCTTGCCGGCGGGGAGGGAGTCTTGAACCCTCCCCCTACCCCCTCTCCTGGACCTGGACGGGGGCGGTCGCGAGCGGTCAGAATTTTTTTGTTGTTCGGCCCCTGGGAGGGCCCATTTTTGACACCCCTCACAAGGATCGTGGCCTCCGATGGGGGGGAGGGCAAATCGAGGACCCCCCTGTTTTGACCGACCGCCTCCAAGATGGCCCCAAGAGGCCCTCCATGGCTCCCAAGAGGCCCCCAAGAGGGCTCCAAGAGCGCCCCAAGAGGCCCCAAGAGGGCCCCAAGAGGCACCCGAGAGGCACCCAAGAGGCCCCCGAGCGGCCTCAGAGAACCCAAGATGACCTCCAAGATGGCTCAGATAGCCCAAGCTGGCTCAAGATGTCTCCCAAGATGCTCCAAACGGCCCTAAGACCGCTCTAAGACGGTACGAGATGGCCACGGAGCCTCCCAAGCCTCCCTCGCCGTTTGACTATGCGTGTATATTTCTCTCCCCCCGTCAACTATCATGGGCATCGTTTCTGGATGGGCTGGTGGGGATACCATATTTTTTGGGTCAGCGGCTCCGGGGCAACGGACAGGGAGCGGAAGCGGCGTCCGGGTCACGGTACGGGGCTAATTTGCAAGACAATTCGCCGACAGCCAGAGTCGGCGGACAAAGCTCGCACCTGCAAGACAGGCTCGCAGTTGCACGTGCACAGAACAAAATGAACTAAATTACCAGGGCAAACGCACTTAGGCACCGCAGCCCGAACCACGGTGAGCAGGCCGCCGTGTTGATTGTGCGGATGCAACGAAGTGAGTCGCCAGGGCGGCGCCAGACTCCGTGGCCGACCAGCACAAGCCGAACGG